ACTTTTAAGTTGGCGGTGAAACCGTTCGACTAAATTATTCGATGCTGGATGGTAGGCGGTGGTGCGTATGCGTTCCGTACCAAGCAGCCGGGTCAGTGAGGAGAATAATGCGGACTCAAATTGTTGTCCTCGGTCAGTCGTGACAGTCGAGGGACAACCGTACAATGCTATCCATCGTTCTACGAAGCGGTGAGCAATTGTCTCCGCCGTGATAGACGTGATGGGAATAGCTTCGGGCCATCTCGTAAAACGGTCAATGCACGTGAGTATGTGATCATACCCATGCGATGGTGGCAATGGTCCTACAATGTCTATATGAACGTGATCAAAGCGAGCATCAGGCGTAGCGAACGTGCCAATGGGGGCAGCTACGTGCCTGTGCACTTTTGATCGTTGACACTGTAAGCATTGCTTTACCCACATACGAACATCTTTATTCATGGACGGCCAGACGTATCGTGCAGCCATGAGGCGTAATGTTGCTGCGATACCTGGATGAGACAATCCATGAAGGGCATCAAAGACGAGACGGCGATAGGTAGAGGGTACGATGGGTCGAGGTAGACCGGTAGAAATATCACATAGGATAGTACCTGAGCTAGTAGCTAGGGGTACTTCCTGACACTGAAGGGATTAAGATTGTGGTGCTTCTGTACAGACAGGATCGTTTGCTTGCGCGGCGGCCATAGCAGGAAGATCGAGCACCGGTACGGTAACTGCATTCGTCTGGATACGTGATAGAGCATCGGCAACATAGTTCCACTCGCCTTTAATGTGACGAAGGTCTGTCGTGAACTGGGAGATATAGTCCAAATGTCTGCACTCTCGTGGTGAGTAGCGGTCAGACTTGGTATGCAGGGCATACGTTAAGGGCTTATGGTCGGTGAATAAGATGAATTGACGTCCTTCTACTGCGTGCCGGAAATGTTTGATGGCGCAGTAGGCTGCAAGCAGCTCGCGACCAAAAGCGCTATATCTCGTCTCCGTGGGAGTAAGGCGTCGTGAGAAAAATTCAAGCGGTTGCCAACTACCGGAGATATTCTGTTGCATAACGGCTCCTATAGCGAAATCTGATGCATCAACCGCTGTACTAAGCGTGGCTGATGGGTCAGGATGAGCGAGAAGTGTAACTTGAGCGAGAGCCGTTTTGATCTCTGAGAATGCAGTACGTGCGGTATCGTTCAGATCTAATTTGCGTGGATTACCGCGTAGTAAATCGGTTAGTGGTCGTAACCGTTCTGCCGCGTGAGGGATAAAACGTCGGTAGAAGTTAACCAAACCGAGAAAAGCCTTCAGTTCCTTGATTGAGGACGGCACGTTGTACTCCTTGATTGCTCGAATTTTGTCCTCGCAAGGCAGAATACCCTCTTGTCTGATGATGTGACCCAGAAATATTATTTTTGATTTACCCAATTCGCATTTCTCTGGGTTGACTACTATTCCATTATCCGAAAGACGTTGGAATAATAGCGTAAGGTGTTGATAATGTTCATCTACGTTTGATGATGCGATCAGCAGGTCATCAATATAGACGTGAACAAAATCCAAGTCTCGTACTATGCTATCGATAAACCTTTGGAAAGTTTGAGCAGCATTCCGTAATCCAAATGGCATTCGTAGGAACTCAAACAGACCGAACGGAGTCGTGATAGCAGTTTTTTCGATGTCTTCAAGAGCGACTGGGATCTGGTGATATGCTCGTACCAGATCGATTTTAGAAAAGATAGTCGTGCCCTTGAGCGATGCCGTGATGTCGTGTATGTGGGGGATGGGGTAGCTATCAAAGCGCGTAACTACGTTTAATGCTCGGTAGTCGCCGCAAGGTCTCCAACTAACCCCATCCTTTTTGCGCACCATGTGTAAAGGAGAGGCCCAAGGACTGTGAGAAGGACGAATAATACCAGCAGATAGTAAATTGTCAAACTCACGTTTAGCGAAAGCTAATTTGTCCGGTGCCAGTCGGCGTGGTCTTGCCGTGACTGGTGGTCCGCGGGTGACTATGTGGTGTACCACACGATTGGTCACCGATGAAATCTCCTCGAATGGTTTAGTTAATCTGGGGAATTTCTCGAATAAGGCGTGGAATTTATCGTCACGCGAATAAAAAGTTCCGAGGATTCGGTACGCGTTTGTGTGAGCTTTAAAGCCCATGAATTTGCTGTTCGACGAAGTATCGATTAGCTGCAGCCTACGTGAATCGACTAGCAATTCATAGTGCTGTAGGAAATCAATACCTAGTATGGCTGTGGGAACATCAGCAATGATGAACGTCCACAGATACCGTCGTCGGTTGCCCAGGTTGACCGCGAGTTGTCGTGTACCGTAGGTAGGAATGGCTGAGCCATTTGCAGCGCGTAGTCGAAGCATTGTAGCTTGTGACTTAATGCTACCTCGTGGTACGACAGAAACTTGGGCACCTGTATCCACTAGGTACCTAGCGTTTGTGCGATAACCGTGCACGTAAAATAAACGGCCAACCTGGGGGGCAGGGCCGGCGAGTACGGCCGCTTTTACTCGCCGGCTTTGGAGTTTCCCGCCTTGTATGAGCACGGGGCTCGACAACGGCGGGCACCAGATCCGAAGGATCGATGAAACCAGCACCAACCTGCACTCGCTTCCGAAGCCGCCTTTTGGCGTGGCTTGGAAGATGCCCTCGTTGGGCGAGTGTTGACGGCTTTTCGAGATCGTGAGCGGACTCGAGGGACGTAGGGTTAGGGTACGTTACAACGGTCTCGAAAACTAAGACGTGTATGAATACACCCTTCCCTGTCACCTTGAGCCGAGGAGTGGCTGCCGTCGATATCGACTTTCGGACGCGATGTTGAGGCAACTACGTAGTTGTCTCGATTGCCAGTCCTAGCTAGAATTTTGTCTGCTGTGAGGGCTACCTGTTTCAGTGGTGCGTCCTCGAGCAGGGCCGTAACTGTAGGTTGGATAAATGCTGGTAGAGATTCGAGCCACAGTTCTTTAACAATTTCAGAATCGGCTGCCGTGGGTCCTGCAAGAGATTGCAGGCGCGTGAGGTGGTGGCTCGGTTTAGCATCACCCAGGGGGTGACGTGCTAATAACGTCCTCAATCGTTCCTCCCTCGATGGAAGGAAATGTCTGAGGACCGCCTCCTTGAGACGATCGTAAACATTGGGCACATTGGAATTGAGGACAACCTCACGGACAGCTACTAAATGGTCTCCCGGTAAACATTCGAGAGCGTAAGTGTACTTCTGCCGTTGGCTTGTAATATGACGGGTCTCAAATTGAGACTCTATAGCAGCAAACCAAACTTCGGGATCGTGAGGAATAAAAGATACAGGTCGAAAGTGTATAACCTGTACGTCAGAGTCTATTACGTTAATACTATTCTTATCGTTATCCGTCATGTCAAATATATTATATATTAAAAATTAATATGAAAATATATGACAGACGTGGATAGATAAGCGATAGACTCACCAAAATTGACTTCTTTGGAAGGTTTGGTCGCGATTGCCAAGTGGTCGTAGATGTAGGTTCACCAGTTGCAGAAGATTTGACCGAAGTTGAGGCGTGTTCCAAAATTTGGGTCACCAAATGTAGCGTGGTGTCGAGTTGAGCTGAACTATGAACACCGCTACCAGACTACTTGCCAATAGACCAATAAAATTCCGATAGGCCAAAATATCAGAAGGCAGATGATTGTAGTAGTCGTATATATTTGTTGGCGATCTCGTGGTATCGAAAGAATACCGAGATCGTGCCAAAGGAGTACAGTTGCGATCGGCAAGATAAGATACGTGCGTAGTCCAAAAACCGCGTAAAAGCAATGGAATACAATGGAAGCCCAAAATGGCTGTTATTAGCACAGTTAAACAAACGAGCACAGTAAAACAGTCACTGGTACAATTGGTTATAATAATAATTGTTTTCATCGAACCAATCGTGTTCTGTTGACAAAAGTAGGTCACTGCACATATATGTCTCATCAATAAGCTCAAACAATTAGGTGTCAAGTCACCGTTGTTTGATTGGCTCACTTCATATCTAAATAATCAACTTTTTATGATCAGGGCTAACTTCACCTTTTTTCGGGCTACCGAATGTTTTACTATGTTCCCCTGTGATTTTGTACTGATATAATATAATATATTTCTGCAAGGGCAGGTGCACGCCATTTTTACAGTCATGATCTACAAATTACAACATTTATTGTTTCACAGTATGCATAAAATAAATATGGTCTATAAAAGTGAATATCAGTTTATTACTTCATCTATTGGTAATCTACTTAAACAATCTTCCGCAGCAGGCCTCGGCAGATGTATTACTTATGGGTGATCATGGAAAACTCTAGAGAAAATTTTGCAACAAAAAGGACGACGTAGAACTTTAGAAGGATCTGACTGGAATTCAAGGTTAAGCAGCAAACAACGGACGTACCTTTTAACACTTTGAGGTGTAAAGTAGTCCACCTGAAACTTGTTGCAGACTTCGAATACATCATTGGTAATTATTCATTACGAAGTGATCTAATATCGGCTCATCGCATACTGAAAGATGACCTTTTTAATAATATGTCTTATCTTTCCTTCCATATAGAACTGATCATTTGAGAAACTATTCGAAGTAAGTTCAAAAACCGTGATCAAATCGTCTACATCTAGAGTTTTGTTTCTCACATCTAGTTGTGAATTACTGAAATTCTCTATCACAACACGTTATATTAGCACCCTTTGTTGATGTGTCCAAAACGAGAGTGGACCTCCACAGCGTTACAAACTGCAGGGATTAATATAGGTCAACAGACCTATCCTTATTACTGAAGACTGATATACTACGGCTATTTATAGGATCAAACGTGTTTTACCCAGCAACTCATTCTGATGACTGTCAAATATTAATTTATTAGGAAGCTGATTATTCATCTAAATAAAAGGTTTTAGATGGGTTTTGAGTGAATTTAGACTTTGGTCAGATTGGACACCATGAGAAAAGGTAATGCAAACCTAACCAAATCGCCGCTTGCACTAAACTACTACGTTACTTTTGAATAGCCACTTCACTGTAGGGCATAGTTTTCATGGTATAGATTACCATAACCATAATCAACCTCTTATTTTTACGTGCTTCAATATACTAGCCTTCGTTTTCTGGTATTTAAGGATTTAAGCACTATGTTTTCACGAAATATCAATCTAGTATATGTTTGGTTGGTGTTACGTAGTAGAAGTAGATTGTTCAACCGTCGAATTAAATAAGGTCTCTGTGAGAACTTTAGGTGTTTTATTTAAATGTTTGCACAATTAATCAATGGGATGTGTGACAGCGTTCTATTTGCTAATGCTCGATTATTTTAAGTTCAGTCCTACCTATTTTTTGATTCGCGATTATGTGCATTATCAGTAGTCTTTATAAAACGATTTTCCCAAATTAAATTAGCGCTTTTGCATTATAAGGGATTATATATGGCAATAAGTCGGTTTAACTTTTGCATTCGATCAGCTGGAAGCCGGTCTTTTTTATCGATTGATCACCGTATACGTCGCTCAATCTTTAGATTGTTCTTAATATTTTAAATTCAAGATATAGAGTAATCTTTACTTCGGACTTTTTATGTGCACAAATCAACGGTATTACAAGAACTTCCTGTTGGTAACTAAGTACAACAATAGAGACCATGCATTTCTGTAAATTTTTTACTATCAACCCTACCTACTTACCAGTTCTCCATCCGCGCCGTATTTTATAAGACGCTATATGAAATGTAGAAAATCGATCCGTTGATTTTTCTCAAGTATTTATTTTTGTAATGGTGTTTTGTTTATTCGTTCTGTGCATTTTTATCTAAACGGAATTTTCAGCTGCTTCAGTGCTTTACTTTAAACTTTCAAAAAGTTATAATTCAATATAACAAGTCTCTCTTAAAGTTCTCTGTCACAAGCTACTATCGTTTAACTATATTTCCCTAAGTTTTTGTCATCACTTGATGTTTTGTCCATGTCATGTTTTTGTTTTCTGATTACAGAATGCCAAAAGGTTTAGTAGAATGTTCGGTTAAAATAACTGAGATATGTCTAAACGCCCAGTGCGCTCACATACAATTTCTAAATCATGCAAGATACAAGTAAGTTTTTCAAAGGGTAATGGTGAACTTTGCACATTTATCTAGTTAATGTATTTTGATGTGAAGATTCTTCGATTTTAAGTGATTGGTAACTAGTTTATTCATCTGATTAGTTTTAATTTTTCGAAACCAAAGACACATTCTTTAATCAAAAGTATTAAAAACTTTACTAATTGTTGGGAAGGAGCAGACATGTAACTCAGTAGATCAGTAATATTTGTCAGCCAAGGCAGTTTACCCGATTAATATTTTAAATTGTATACATATGTTAAGCCAAGTATTACCAAGTTCAGTTCATTGAAACCCAACGACTGATCAGATAATTACACATGTGAATCTCAGTATATTTGATACGCTTTTTTTATTTTTCGCATAAATTTTCATTTGCACTCTTTTCTATCGTTCGCATCAAGCCGTATTAATCCTACTTGGCTGTCACAAGTAGCAAGTAACAGTTTTTCCGCCGTCATAATAAGTATTCATATCAGTGTTTTGTTCAGATGTAACACTATTCCTCTAAAAGTTCTAGCTTTTCATGTTAAATTCAACCATGATTGATTAAAAAAACTAACAATCGCTTTCTACCAGTTGTATGAATTATTAAATACACTTACCGGGGAATAAACTAGGGACCTAAAAACTTCTTTATGCTAGCCTTTGGCGTTCTCAGACCAATTCCGTTCACTCAGGTTTTTGATCTCAATCGTCTTATAATCTACATGTGTAATTGGTAGAAATAATTCCACAGAGTATCTGATCTTAACGAGTTAGTGAGTAATAATACAACTAAACTACTCTTCACTATATTGGTTGATCCCATTAAATGACCGCCTTTTATTCCTTCCTATAAACCTTAGTGTTAGCTTGGTATAAATGTCATCCCGCTTAAGATGTACACAAACCAAAAGGTTTTTTAAATAGCCTCTATGATCCCTGACCACATGTTTTTAAATCAGAATTGTTTGTGCAAAATTCTATCAAAGATATTAAGATCGGTAAGTGTGTCTTAGAAAATATCTTGTCGAAACATTCCGCATTCGCTTTCAAATCCGTGAAGCCACTGTTTATGATCGAATACCCAACTCGTGTATTTCGAAATGAAATTTAGGGTGGTTCACTGTTGTCACATTGTTTTCAGACATTTATTTGCTAACGACTTCAGTTACGTAGGCCTCACTTTTTCATATAACAGGAATTTCTCACAAGAATTATAGGACATAAACAAATTCCTGATATTTACAGATCGTTTTATGCCATGAACTACTTCAGGCTAGTGATTATCAGTATAGAAAAATAGACAGATTAGATCAAAAGTAATGTAGTATTACCACTTTATCAAATTTAGCAGGTATCGACTATTAGTTAAAAAATCAATTTTGGATCGGACATTTACCTCTTGGTTGATTACTTTGAAGGTGGTGTGTCATAAGCTTGTAGTGCTTGTTAAGTTTTTTTTATCAAATAAATGGATTCAAAAATATGTATTCCGGATTTTCGTGTCGAAGTAACCACTGAAAGTAACATTACCAAAGGAGATAAAGTTTATTGGGAAATGTTGTTGGTTTTACCTATTTTTTTACGCTTTCAGTATACTACGTTTTTTTGCTTAAGAATTTAAAGCGCGTATTATTACGGGGACCAATTGGTGTACTCTTAGATTTTTATTTAAAGGTGTGCTTAGATATACTAAGTGATGGTTGTTAGTATTGCGAATCTTTGTTCTTAGCTTGTTTCCAATCATATATGTCTTATTATCGAGATGGATCTTGATGTTTCGTGTCATATCGTGACTGTTAAAGTTATTTTAAAATTCATTTCAACGGAACTCTTATTTCATTACTTCTTCATTTTAATTAGCCTAATACTCAGGTTACACTTGAGCGGGTAATAGGTTTTACGTTGAATAATAACTGCGCGGTTGCATTCTCTGATAAAACTGGTCTTGTTGCTCATGCTGCTGGGTGAGTTGCATTTCAGTACTTACATCGTTTGTATGATATGTTTTTTGTAGATGTTATTCTGTAGCACAAATTTCATAAAGTTTACAACATCACTGTTTGTAGTTAATAAATTTCATAGTTTGCCTAATTAGGGAGTGTGATATTCAAATCAACTTTATTTTTATAAGATATACTAAAAGCCATAATATATCATTCTCTTTGCTAAAAATTATTTTTAATCAGTTGTTTTAATTTCCGTTGCCAATACGCACTCGTGTTTTTTGATGGTATTTTCAGAGACAGTATGTAAAGATAAAGCTTTTATTCTGCTTCAAGTTGTTTGAGTTTGCGGATCAATTAAAAAACGCTTCAAATTTCAACAATCGATGACTTATTCTGTGAAAAGAAGCTTGGATTATCTTATAACTTTCAGATTTAGAATCAGTTACTTTGTAGATTAATACTACATCGTATTTATAGTGTTTAGTACTACATCACGTCTAAAAAGACCAATTAAATTCTTCTTGCATCATTATCCACACATTTGAACTTTGTCAGTTATCCGTTTGCAGCCCTGGCTTTGAGCATATTTTGTCTATGGCTTACTCCATTCATCACATCTTTTTAGCTTATTTTTCTGACGATAAATAGTGAGACACCTTCCATATAGTGGAGTTGGTACTCTTTTTTCCCCCTTCGCTTCGCTTCGCTTCTCATCTTAATGTCTGTCTGAGTAAACAAGTACATGAAGTAAATGGATCAAACTTAATTCGTATTTAGATTTTAATTACCACCGTCGCCTAAATGGTGTTAGTCTAAGTGGAATATACGGAATTAAATGTAAGACTTATGTTTATGGCTCATTTATCGTTTATCCGTTTTGGAATCAGATTTTGAACCGCTAAGAGTATAACCATGAGTTCTTTTTACAATTCACTCCCACTTTAACCGATCATATTAAGCAGAAGTGAAGGACCTTTGGGTACTTCGTGTTTTTTACTTCTTATACTTGATTAATCATTATCTGATAAGTAGTCCAGGTATAGTATTATAGCCTAACATCTTCCAAACATGACTAACGTGTAATTTTGTTGTACGTAATCAAATACTCATGTAGTCGATCGATGGCTTTGTTTTGGTAAGTTTATTTGTCTAGGATTCTTGAAACCGTCGTGTAAGTGGGATTTTAGTCCAGTGAACTCAGTTATCTTAATATTTTATCGATTCAACCTATCCATTATAACATGACCATCTCAGAACACTAATATAACATCAGCTGATCGTGGGTAAGCTCAACTGTCTTTTTCAAGATTGGTTTACAGTTTTATCAACATTTGTAAATTCATCACATAGAAAACTAACTCTGTTCTCCCATCACACACTGTCAGGACTTTAAAAATGCTTATAGTCTATGACATACAGCTTACAACCATCTACTTTTAGTGGTCATGTTTTACATGTATTATACAATAGTGAGTAGAATATTTTCTATGTAATCACCCTTTAAACGTCTGTAGTTGAATAATAACATCAATTAATATGAAAATTTATTCAGACTAATACTAACTGACAGAATAAAACATTAAAGTATTATGTTGTTCAGATGAATAATTTCTAAAATTATGTTTTTCAAATTATTGATTTAATAATAATAATGCATACATTTGTAAATAGGTGTGTAACAGTTCTTCATTCATTTGAAAATGAACGACAACAATTTATACAAAGTCAAAGTCGTAAAGCCATTACAGCAGTGGATTTTAGTTCAGATGGAAAGTATTTAGCCACAGGAGAGGTTAGTTAATTTATTTTGAATTAAAATAATTCATATAATTTCTGCATAATTGTACTTCACATTTTACAATCCAATCAATCCTTTTTTTTGTTTTACTTCATAAATTTGTAATGTGTTTATCTATCATGTTTACATTTATAAAGTTAGGAAGAGAATTTCATTGATATAATTATTTGTTAAAAAAAATTATAAGAGTTAAATAGTTTGTAAGTAATTTGCATTACAAACTAACGTAAACTGAAAAATCATTGATTCTTAGAAAACACTATCCTAGTTTGATAAGAAATTGCTTTTAAACTCGACACAATTTTCAGTTAATTAGTCAGTCAGTCACACGCAACGTAGAATCTGGCACATGTATACATCTGCTCCACTTTCTACACCCCATTACCATACCTCAATAAAATTGTCGAGGCAAGTAGAGATAGCAACAGTATTGATGGTAATAAAAAAAATAAACTTGAAAGATATTATTCAAGAAGAAAATACAGACCAATGAAATAGTAGTAAAACTAATAAGATAGTTTAAAGACTGAGGTTTTAAAAGAAGATAAACACTAATTGCACATGTACCAACAATATATATCTTTTATACGATATTTAAATGAATTAATAAATCAGGTTAACCCTAAACTCAATAATGTCTGTACTTTTATTGTTATATATCCTATTATTGTCCTTTTTGACGTCTTTATGAGTTGTTTTAGTCTGTGATGATTGAACTAGTTATATCAATCATATAATTTGGACTAGTTATAAGTCCAGTGCAGTCACTACTTATTTTATCCTTCGATTGTTATTATTATGTCACCCAAACTGGTAACAATCAAATATTCATTGTTAAAGGGGGGAACAAAAAATTGTGTCAATGCGATCAAATATAATGACTGTAATGTTATATATGTAGTTGAAACAACACAGCAGCTGAATGTATGGGTAGAGGAACACATACTTTGCTTGAAGCACATTTCTAAATCGTCAGAAAACCTGGAGAAAGTCAGGGAACAGGTCAGCGATAGCACTGTACTCGAAAGAGTTGGGCCACATAATTGGTTGCAATGGCTAACAGCCGAAACCCTACACGTATGGACAAATTCAAACAGCAGGAATTGGAGAAATTTAATACAATTAGCTGTCGTATGGCAATTAATAATAAGTAAACCTGAACTCCTTATTGCATTTTACTCCATTTAATCTATCGCTTATTATGTTAACAGTAACAATTAATTTAACTTGTTCTCATCAGTTGGTTTATCTGAATATGTGATAAACAATAGGTTTGATCGACATAATAAAACAAATATTTATTTTTATCAACTTGTCATCTTATTCATGCTGTGACATGTTTGACTCATATCATCCATAAAATTATCTGATTTCATCAAAGATCTTTAATCAGGCGACTTATAATTAATGAAGATTTTTGTTACATCAGATCCACTTGTGTACACTCACAACTTTTATCTTAACACATTTTTCCCCACTTTTAACATCAAGTGTCTCGTTCGCACTACAGCAAATCTTTCTTTCAACCTTGTTAATATGATTGGATGACCTGTTTAGTATACAGTTAACCGGGGAACCATATGTTTATTTATATTCGTCAATTTTGATATTTGATTATATTTCCTTGAAAAAACTTGGGTCGGATTGCCGAGCAAAACATTAGATTTACTCAGTCGCTGAAATTTTCAGGACTATAATTTTTTTCTTTTATGTCTTAGATTGATTCGGCGCCCAGTTACTGTGAAACTACTCGTTCGAGTTTAGACGAAAGATCTTATACACTAAAAACTCAGTCTTTATAGACTCAATGAGTTTCTAATTATACTGGTATTAGTCATCATAACTAAAGGTCAACTGAAATTGATTTTGATTTTGTTCAGTTCAACTTTCATATAAATTAAATGGAAATTCACATTCGTTGCTTTGTGCAAAGCAGTTATTTTCATTTCAGCATTTATATTCCCAAAATATCGTTTCCCGTAGTTTAGATAATATGTTTTTTATGTACTATGAAAATTACTAAGATAATCCCAAAATTGTCAACACTATCATATATATACTTAGATACGATGCACGGATATATGCGAATCGTATATATATTTGAATTGTAAAAACTACAGTCACAATCGTTTTGCAATCCTGGATTTTTTTCTGCTCAGTTGACTCTAGCGGTTGTACATTTCGGTACTGAATGTCTAATAATTGTTTTGTGATTTTTGTTTTATTATCAATGAACTTTATTTCATATTTTAGTGTTCCTTTTGTAGCCTTAAATCTGTACTTTGCATTTTTTTCGCACTAGTTTGGATTGTAATGGATAGATGACCTTGAACTAAAATTATTCCTTCAATACTATTGACCACAGTAATGATCTTTTAATGCTTACAACACTTATTATAAATATACGTATGTATATCACTTTTCAATAATTTCTAATCTCCAGAAATCTTGTTCTGTATGATACGTCTCTTAAGATATTTTCTTCAATATTGAATAGAGGTTTTTGCGTAATTTTAAGATAATTTTTATCATGAAGAATTCGGACCATTGTATCTTGACACATGGTATTGTGTTAACTGTAAGAGTTGATGGTCTTGAGTAAGCACTACTAAGATCTCTCAAAGTAGGACGACACTAGTGCATAATGAAAATTACCAGTACATTTGCTACTGTTTATTACTGTTTTCTTGATAATTAAGAGCACCCGTTACTAATGACCATGCTGGTGTATAACTTTCTAGCAGTGCCTTCTAAATCTTACGTTTTCATGGGATGATGTGATAAACAATGCTTATATCAGATGATGATGCCCTGGTATGGCCGAGAGCGGGGAGGGTTCGCCCTCCCTCTCGAAATACTCTCACACGGCCACGCTTATACAGCCTCTGCCAGGGAAGTCCTACTCACTGCCTTCTCGTGGCGGGGGTGTTGTTTACGAAAATGAGAAGACGAAAAGCGAATGTCCGGCGCTTTAACCGGATCCCAAATCAATGGTGCACATGGGCTCCAGTATCCTGAAGGAACAAATGGCGTATGAACCAATCGTTGGTCACCGGCTTCCATGGGACTGCATCTCCTTACGATGCTCCACTGCCTTGTGGACTAGACCTTTAGGTCAAAGGCTCGGGGTGTGGCCCCCTAAGAAAACCACCTGCTTCGTTTTGGGCACCCGGGCAGTATCTCAGCTCACACACTAAAACCATGATGAACTATCTGCTTACGGAAAATATTCGTTTCTCTCCGACTAACATTAAAATGACTGGTATTATTATTATTATTATTTACTACGTCATTTATTCACTATCTCCTATTTCTACTTTTTGTATCCGCTTCGACTCAGACAGCAGCTCGCCTATGGTGGACATTCAGCTTTATCTAAACGTCCTCGAGTCACTGCCTGGCTGAAAATTGTATGTTGCCACCGAATACGAGTACTGAAGCAGTTTTTCTGAAACCAAGTGCACCATTCAAACTGTCTGCCTTCAACGTTCGCACACTTATGCAGGTCGGACAACAGATAGGGCTGGCTATGTCTTTGGAAAGTCTTAATATTGATGTGTGTTGTCTATCCGAGACCCGTATTCAAGACTCTGGTGAAGTACTACAAGTTTGCTCTCCATCTGTCACTTCAAAAAGCTTGTTTTATGTGCGTTTATCCGGGGACCCTGTGGCATCTTCGTCTGGTCTTGCTGGCGTTGGTGTCACACTAAGCGCTAGAGCTGAGGCAGCACTAGTCGACTGGATCCCCATTAACAGTCGGTTATGTGCTGTTAGATTAGAAAGTTCCATCAAAGTGAGAAGAAATCGGCGTGAGAAACAATGTCTTTTCGTCATCTCCGCCTATGCCCCGACAGATTGCAGCCCGGATGCAATCAAGGATGAATTCTACCATCAGCTCACTGTTCTTCTCCAGAAAGTGCGTTCGACAGATATTGTAGTACTAGCCGGAGACTTGAATGCTCAGGTCGGGCGTCTAGGCACAGAAGAGAGTCGTTTAGGTGGCCGATGGGGACTCGTTGGTCGCAGGACAGATAACGGGGAACGTCTACTGCAACTATGCACAGACCACAACCTGTTTCTGGCTAGCACTAACTTTCGGCACAGTCATCGCCGATGTGCCACCTGGCATCCCCCTTCTACATTTCAAGCCTGGACTCAGATTGATCACATCGCGATCAGCTACCGCTGGCGCGGTTGTGTACAAGACTGCCGCTCCTTTTGGAGTACCTATCTGGAATCTGATCATGCTGTGGTCTGCGCCAATCTTACCTTACTTTTCAGTGGACAACGAAGTGACCGCCACCAAAGGATTGATGTTAGCAAGCTGGCTGCGACTTCTGTTGCTAGTAAGTATCGAACCGAGCTACCTTCTAGGCTAGCTACCATTCCACCGAAAAGTATAGATGAGCATTGGTTGCAATTGCATGACGCCATGAAAATGGCGGGTACAGTCTGTTGTGGATTCGCGAAACGTCCCGCTTACAAGCACTGGGTTTCTTCTGGTTCCTTACAACTGATTGAAGCCCGTCGGTCTACTCCGGGTGACCGTGAGTTTGACCACAGACGAAGGATGTTACGTAATGAAATCGGGCAAAGCTTGCGTAAGGACCGAGAAGCCTGGTGGTCGGAGCGTGCCAGTGAGTTGGAAGCAGCAGCTGCATCTGGTAATTACCGGAAGCTCTTCCAACTCATCCGAGCCACTGGCAGCAAGAAGTTTGGTGTGAGCGAAACAATCTGCGAGGATGACGGAACGCCAATCACTAACATCCATCGACGTCTTGGACGATGGGCGGAATTCTTCGAAGGGCAGTTCAACTGGCCTGCTGCTCCGGCAACATCGGTCAGACTGTCCTGCCCTCCATGGCCGGTGACGACTGATCCACCAAATGAGGCGGAAGTCCGCAAGGAACTCCAACTCTTGAAACGTTACAAATCACCGGGCCCAGACGACTTACCTCCGGCTCTCTTTAAAGATGGTGGTGACTTTCTGACTA